TGCTAACTGAGTTAATTTCCTCTGTTTCTGGTCAACTGGTAGATTGTTTGATTTCATGTAATTATACATAAAACTGCCAATTGTTTTTTCAGCTGTGATAATATCTAAGTTTCTTATTATCGGTAAAAAGTTTATGTAATCATTAATGTATTTTTCATCAATGTGACCCTTTACTTCAGCCACGAATAAAGTATTTTTTTCTTAAATTATTCCCAGTGCTTTTGCTTTCTTTGTTGCTGTATCACAAATGATAACACCATTCAATCTTCCCGGCATATACATTTTATGGTCAGTATATTGAATGAAATCATGAGGATTAGATGAAAATGATGAAGGATATAATGAATTAAAGTCAACACACAACGAAATGAGTCATAATGTTGGTGGTGTCCTCATTTGATACAGTTTTAGTTTCTGGATTATATGAAAGTTTATTAATGTGCGTGATTCCTTTAAGATTTACTCTATGTTGAACATTTGATAGACCACCAGTAATTCCATTACGGAGGATGTGATAAGCTTCAACTGAATCTAAAGTCATTGGTAAATTATTTTTTAATGTATAATTTCTTAAATTGATTCTTAAACGTTGAACATCTTCATCTTTATTTGATTTTACGACATTGCAATAACAACACATTAACTGACAATTAACTTTAGTATGTGGTTTTTCATTATCGATTCTATCCAATGTTGGTTTATTTGCATATGTAAACGCTTTACCACACATTTTGCATTTAGATGAAAGGATTAAATCGTGATAGTATTGATAGTCATCCATTGAAACATTGTTTTTAGTATCCCTTTCTGCTTTTTCATCTTGTTTCTTATATGAATCAATTTTATATTTCCAATACTTTTTTGTTAATTCAAAACTTGATTCCACATTTTCTTCTTCTGGATATGTTTCGTTAGGATTGAAGTTCTTATATGCTAACGCGTAACGAATCATTGATGCATTCGATGATAAAGAAAGATTATGAAGCATGTCAATTTTATAAACAAATGTTTCTTCAATAATTTTATCAATTGGGTCAATCATAATTTCAACGTCTTTATTGCAATAATGAATAAAATATTCTAATCTATTCTCAAAATTTTTAGCATCATTGAGATATATTTGATAATCTGAATCGGATATTGTTTCTTGAGTTAATGCTGAATAAAATGAATCTTGAGTGAATGGTTCCACTTTATATAATTCATCTTCGTAATTCTCCCATGTGATGAATTGATAAGGGAAAAAGGATTTAACACGTGATTTATTGTTTCCGAAATCTTGAGTGAATTGGTCTAATGTTCCACCCGCTATATAATTTCTGATGTCAATAAATCTTAATTCATATGGACAGTTTGTTTTCTTTACAATGATTTGCTTAAATTGAGAAGAAGAACCCAGCATTGATTTTATTTTCCATTTTGCAGTGTTTAAATCACGAAGAATTAAATTTAAATCAAACTTTCCCGAATTAAAACCTATGATATTCACTTTATTGAATTCCTCATCTAGAAGTTCTTTAAATGCTTCCTTCTGTTTTTCATTTAATGTATGGGACAAAGTCCCCGCCGTTTGGTCCGTTTGCGGCTTCATTAATTCTTCATATTGTTCAATATTTGATTTAGCAACTAATGAACAGGTTGAAAATAAAAATTCAATCCAATCAGAAATAAAAGAATCACTTGAAGTTAAGCAAAAATTCCTCGTAAATGTTTTATCACGGTCTACGACCTCGCCGCTTCGGTCTGAAAGACCTTCAGGACTCAAAGAGTCCGTTTGCGGCTTTATTTTGACAGTTGATGATACCATAAATGGTTTTAAGTAAGCGTTCAAAGTTGCACATTCAGAAAGTTGAAGTTCTTCTTTAGTCTCTAATGTTTCGAAGTCAAAAGTAATATAATATCTTGTTGGTTTATAATATTCCTGCAAATTATGTGCTAATAGCCATTGATATATCTTCTGTTTCGTGATATGTGGTGCATATGGTTGTTGTGTGTTTTGCAATTGAACGTCTTGAATTAATCTTCCATTATTTTCTTTACATTTCTCACAATGCTTTAAAAATCTTCTTTGGTTTTTCCTTTCTGGGTCATCACGGATAGAATATACTTCTTCTTTGCAAAAGGGGCAAACTTTATATCCTGTGAGTGCTTCAACGTCTGTAATTCTGTCAGCGTGAAGTTTTCCACATGGACTCTGTGTTAATAAAATATTTACTGTTTCAAATTCTGGATCTATCATTATTGAATCCACTAATGGAAAGTCTACCTTATTTATGTCTACGTCTTCTGGTTGAGGGTCACAATAATAAAAATCAATATTAACGTTTAACATTCTTGCTAACCTCTCACTTTCTGATGAAATGTCAAACCCTTCATATGCATCTATTGCTTCATTTAAATAGCTTCTACGAGTTTTAGGATTAACACCATCAGGAATGTTATAGAAGTGTTTAAATAACCTTCTACCTTCTGCTCTTATTTGATTATCATTCATTTTAGCTGTTCCGTTTTTGTTCATTTATGTAAGAATAAAAAATTAAAAAATAAATAAAAATAAAGTTTATTTTTTTAAAGTCCAGGGCTAAAGCCCATAAAATGAATTAAGAACACATAAATTTTTATCATCTGCGACGTGACGAATACATTTTAATTTACTCAAGAATGCGTACCCTGATACATTAAATCTAATTCCTGTCTTATTTAATTTCACAACTTTGAAAAGGAATGTATGAATAGCTATAAAATGATGAGAAGATGTTTTATGGGTTGCTTCCATTTTTTCTGAAATAAATGAATAAATATAATGCTTATACGTTTTCATATCTTTTATATTCTTAATAACGAATGGTATAGACCTTTCCACTTCGTCTTCCTTCGGTGCTGTTCTTTCATATGAAACATTATTGGTATCTTCAATAATGAAACCACAATCACATAAAATTTTATATGTACCAATTGTTTCTTTTGATATTTTATCTAACAAATCAAAAACTTTATCAACACCTGTACATTTATTTAAATAATAATTTGTGTAAATATCATGGTCTTCTTTCTTAATCGTATTTGTTGCATATGTTACATTTTTCAGTGCTTTTTTGAATTTTTCAGAATCAAGAGGAGGTGAAAGTAATATACAGGGGTATTCTTCATCGTCAATAAACTGAAGCTTATGTTTATGAATAAATTTTGTGCCTTCTTCTGAAAGTGTTTCGTCAATATCACCATCTAATAAATTTTTAGTAGATTCCAAAAAGTAATTTTTATATCTTTCTTCATGAGATTTCTGAACTTCTGATTCTGAAGCTGGGATATTCATTAAACCCTCTACTTCATTCTCATTATATTTTTCAACTTCTCTTAATTCCTTAATTTTTTCATCTATTTCATCTCTTATTTTTTCCAGTTTTTCAATTTCATCATATTCATCATCTTTAATCCGTTCTTCATAATATTCAGGGAAAACATCAGGTTCTTTAGGTTTTTCTTCTTCAGATGTGGGATATAAGAAATTTATAACATCATCTTTATTCATTTTTCCATCATAATCTAAATCATTTAATAACTCCGCGAATTTTTGACAATTTCTTAAATAATATTTACTAACCTCATAACTCGCCTCCTCTAATATATCCTCTATTTCCTCGTTTGTGAATTCCAATTTTTTAACGTCGTTAGTCTTGACACTCATTTTCATACGAATTAAAAAAATTAAATATTATTCAAAAATGTAAGACATGAATTTTTAAAGTTTATTTTTTTTTATTTTTTATTTCATTATGGTAGTGAATCTTTCATTCATGAAAATAATTATTTCTAATTTCTTTTACTCTCATACATACTAGATTTAAAGAATTCGGAACTTTTACCATAATCTCCTAAATGTTTTCTTATCCCCAACGTGTGCCAGTTATTATATGAAACTGTATAAACTTTATCTTTATCTTTACACCTTTCATCACTTCCAATATATTTATATCTCAGTTTTGATTTAGCATTTTCATAATCATTAACGTTTAATAATTCACAGTCTTCCTTTTTAAATTGATGTTTAAGATATTCAGGATTTAATACTCTACGTTTATATGCTCCTAACTTAGTTCTAAAGGTTTTTCTACAAAATTTAGGAATTCCATCCTCTTTAATGTCATCAATGATTTCCATTTCATTATTTTCCATTTCTTCTTCTCGTTTATGAGGTCTTTGATTATGACTCCATTGATTCCATGAAATTAAATATTCTTTATCATTATATTTATACCTCATTAGCTTATTTTGGCTTTCATATTCATTTAATAATTCACAATCTTCATTTTTAAATTGAAGTTTAACCCATTCAGGATTTAAACAATGTTTAATTAATCGCGGAATATCTGACATCATCTATATATAGTTTCTTTTATAAAAGATAAAAAATAAATTATTTTAAAATTAATGTTAATTCTTTAATGATTTATAAATAAATATATTTTAATGCATCGTCTATATATAGATGTAACAAAAAAAGTCACTAAACCCGCACTCATATACTACTAACATTTTTTGCTAATTGTCGTCAAAAATTAGGCGTAAAGCAAAAATTGATATTTCATATGGTTTTATGATAGATAAGCATTATATTCCCACTCATTATATTCGTAAATTTTGAGGTTTATCCTTCGCTTTTAAGATCATTGAATTTGATTTTTATATAAAATAGTTATATATTAGAAAATAATATGAGTTTATGTGATATTATTTTTCAGAAGATTTCATTCTATATGCCTATGAAAAGTACTCTCAAAACTAACTTTTTCCTAATTATAATTAAATCTAGAATATTGTATTATGCTTAGTATTATTTCATTTTTCTCATTCAATTTAGAATTTACAAATGTCAAAAAATTGAGAGCTGTCACTTTTGATGAATTTCTGTTTATTACAGATACATCATTTACAAGTTGTCTTCATAAGGTGAATGTTTCGTGTTCAGAAAAAATAAATCAATAAGAATTTGTAATCAGATGTTGGATTATGCGAATTCCTTGGCAAGCAACCCAAAGAATTCTACAATTGAGTCAATAGATTACACAGACTCAAGCCAATGTTCAACATCTGTTGGAAAAAGTGCTAACCATTCACCTCCAACTTCAAAAAATAAGCAAATTATATTTCGATCGCCTTCAAAGGTTGTTAAGCACAAAGATAAGAATTCCAAACTAGATAGATCAATTGTTAAGCTTTCTATTGAAGAGCGCTTTCCCTCAGAAGAATCAGAATCGGAAAGTACGTCAGAAACGGCTGATGAGCTCATATATAATTCGATGATGAACGCTTTAAGAAATAGGCCAACACGAACAAAGGAAAAAGCAAGTCTCCGTGCAAATACGGTTTTAGCGATTCCAAAGGTTCAAAACATAGTTGAGGCGAAAGAGCCGACCGATAGTCAGCATAAGCCACGCCTTACAAGAAATCTTCGTAAGCGGTCTCTAGGAAATTTTACAGTCAAATCAATCGATCTTTCTGACACTTCAGTAACGCCTGAGCCGCCGAAACTCCCCATTAGAACTTTAACTTTCAACGATTATATATTTACTTCTGAGCATAATAGGCTAGGAATTCGTAATCATGCTTATTATAAAATTAAACAAGGAGAATACACACTGTTCTGCGCTAAACAAAAAGATAGAAGTATACAAGTGAATTCTCCAATCTTTATTAGCTCAGGTACAAAAACGAAGCAAACCACTAACAAACACGTTGGAATTTTCATGGCGTTCAACAAAATCACAGAATTTGCTCTTGCTGATATTCAGGATAACGTACAGTACTCATCGGAGCAAATTAAGGCAAATATCCAAAAAGATCAACTTTCCTTGTCTCTGAACATCCACACACCAAGGGATAAGTTGGAAGTTCAAGGGAATTACTCATCTACCCCTGCAGACTCAAATCGAACAATTTCTTTCGTTGATAAAGTTTCGAACGTAGAATACATCAGATTAACAGCAAATACTGAGTCTACATGGACTATTCACGCCATAAGTGATATCGATCCAAAACAACTGCTTTCTCTGGCGATTGTTATTGATCATTTTTCGCGGATTGCAAAGAAGAACTCTTCTTTTATATAGACTGATATAATATTTCTTTATTTTTTTATATTGTATGAATAAAATATTGTTTGAATTTTTTGAAATTAAATATTTCTTTCATAACATCGGATTTGAAATAAAATCTCAGTACAAAACCTATTCATTATGACCATGGCTTACTAGTTTCTGAACATAACATAATCAAACTATGTTTGATGAAAACAATGTTTCATAATTTATAAATCAATCCAATTACCATGACTAGAATACATCGTTTTAATCACCAAATGAACTATTATATCATTCCAATTCTAAATAAACCATAATATATTAGAAAAATATTTCATCTTATAGAAATTTATTCATCAAATGCAGCTGTATATCATACAAATCCATTTAAACCTGCTCTAAAATCTATTTATCCCAAAGATCATTAACCAAAGTTCAAATCAACAAATATCTGATTCAAAATTAAAGTTATAATGATGATTTGATAAAAATATTTTAATAATCATATAATGTAGTTATATATAAGAAAAATTATGATAAATATACATAAAAAATACTTACATTTATAAAAAAATAATAAAAATTTCAATTTGATTCTTGTTGATTTTGTTGTTGCATCTGTTGCTGCTTTGCCTGTGCAGTAATTTTATTGAACACAGTTACCAAATCAATCAAATTATGGACTTGCACGTAAGAAAACGTTTCCTTTCTGTAGGAATCGTTGTTTTTCTGTTCCAAAGCAGTTTCGTAGCAAATTCCGAAACAAGCGAAAAATTTCGGATTGATCTGACACAAGTAATAAACTTCTTTTGCCAGTCTTAATAGACTTTTCGCTGGGAAGTTGACAGTCTTCTTGAAGCACGATGCAATAACACTTATCAGCGATGTATATCCTATTTTATCAGAGATATTGTTGTAAAATCTTTCTGGATCTGAAATGCAGAACTTTACAGCCATGCTAACAGGATTATACGTAGGTACATCAGGTGGCAATCTCATGAAGAAGTTCTGGAACTCGTCATCAGTTACATCGTTGAAATAAATATTAAATAAAATTGCAACGACGGACAAAGCGTAAGAATGGGACAAGAAGAACATTTCATCGCATATCCGATCATAATCGAACACTTCGAATGTCTTTTGTACCCAAAATCGTGCTCTTTCCGGAGATATCCGTATTTTTCCAAAAATTTTGACTAATTTCTTGTAAATACACAAAAGATTATCGGCGTAAAGTTCATTTGGATCTCCAACTCCCAAATGATTCTGATCTTCGTCTGTCGATACGAATTCCGGCTTCGAATCAAGCACGGATATAATAAGAGGCTCGTATCTATCAAATAGATCAATGTTGTGCATGGTTTTGATGTGAGACATCAATAGATTCACAACAAATTTTTGGATGTACAAATTCTTGATGATTTCTGGAATTGATTCCGCATAATTGGTCTCAAACAGATTGTTTATGTTATTTGGAACCAGTTTCCCCAATGTTTTGTAAAGTTTTAATAAATTATCGAAAGGAACTGAAACATCATCGCAATCTTCGTAAGGAACGAGACCCCATTTGGCCTTGTCATCTTCTATCTCTATTTTTTGCTTCAACAGAGAATCCAAATAAATTTTGACAATTCCGACCAATTCTGCAATTTTTTCCTGAGAAACAATGAATCCAACGTTTGGTTTGTACGTGTAGTGCAGGATATTGTTCATTTCGCTTGTCATTTTCTCGAATCCTTTGTATTTCCACGGCTGATTCAATATATCCTTGTAGAAATCGATTGACTGAACAATGTAGTCCGAAACATTGTCACTTTCTTTGAATGTGGAGATAATTGAAAAAATTGTGGAAAATGATTCGATTCTTATTGGCTCAATGAAGTAGTTCTGAGTCATAAGTTGCGAACAGGCTGCATACGTATCAGGGATATAGTTCAAATACAGTTCTTTCAAACTTTTTATGCATGATTGCAATAATTTCAAAGAACTGACGTAGGATTCGATTGTTGTCTGCAGGAAATAGACGTGCAGACCGTTTGGAGGGTTAGGAACTGTGTAATAGCCGCTTGTTACCACTCCATCTGAAGATGACATCTCGATTTCTGTCGGAAGAGTACTTATGAGCCTCACAGATGGTTCTATGAGTGATTCCGCGTACTTTGAGAATGTCTTTGGCCCCATAATGACAATGTATTCGTTGATTGACTCTCTAATTTTAGAAACGAGTTTTGGATGAGCGTTTTCATCGTTGAAGATCTCTATCTCTTTCTGGAAGAATGAATCTATCAGTTCTTCGTTTCCTTCTTCTTCGATATCAAAATTTTCGGAAAATTCGTACAAGATCTGGCCAAAAGAGATACAAGCTTGTGATACAAGGACAACGGAATCAATGTTCAGTATAGAACTCAAGAATTCTACTAAATCAGGGAAATCGGGTTCAATTGTCTCCCAAGAAACCTTTGTAAGCAAATAAGTGGTCGATTTAAGGATGTTACATATGATTATCTCATCATTGAACAGATCAAAACAGGAAATAAGTGTCGGATACAATTGAGAGTAAATTTCTTCGTCAAAAGAGGATTTGGAGAGGTTTACTTTGAGCAGACGCTTTAGAACTCTCGTGATCTCTCTTAAAATCACAATTTCCTTCTCTTCTTCGAGTTGTTGGATTATTATTGTCAAAACTTCCTGAAAAAGGTCGTTGTTCGACATGAGAGACTTGCTACATGATAACAATGAATGGAATGCTGCAAAGCGAAGCCTCGGATGCTCGTGATTGATGAATTTGAAAATATCATCAAAATTATCTGGCAAAATATGGAAATCGATCTCTCCAACGAACAACAACATGCCATATATCAATTGTAGATTATCCCCTTTCATTATATTCTCAAAACACTGCTTAATATATTCATCTTCAAAATTTTTATGAGTAGAATTGATTGTATCACTCGCAATTGATGCCAACGTGTTGTAACTGTTCAGTAGATCTATTTCGGAGTCATCATCAACGATACTCATCACTTGTATCAGCATATCTAAAAATTGTTGGTGAAAAACTTGGGAACCCTTGAACATATAGACTTGGTTCTCTGCAATGGCTGATATGGCAATCAATGCTTGTATTTTTACGTCTTCTGACTCGTTATTTAAAATTATTTGACAGATGTAGGGAGAAAACTCGTTGATATGTTGTTCAAAGAATACGGAGTTCCTTTCTGAGAACGTTCGTAGTATTTTGAAGGACTCTAACATGATTTCTGGAGAAATTGATTCAATGATCGGGTTAAAGAGCTCGTGGAGCTGTGGAAATAGATCTGAATGATAGCACATGGCAAAGTATAGCTTAATTTTCATGATTGGCTCGGAAGATTCGTTTGTAATTAGTTGAATTAAATAATTTGGATCAAAACCTGCGAAATCTGTTGAATATTCTAATATTTCTGATATGGAATACATAATCCATGGTAAATATCGTATATCTGCTGAGATCATTTGAATCAAATACTCTTGAATCATATTTACTGAAGGATCTGTTGAATATCTAACGAGAACAATCTCGGCAATGATAGAACAAAGGAGTTTTTTCTTGTCCGATGATAAAGATGGAGAAATAAGTAGATTTTGGATAGCTTCGCCGAATTGGTCCCAAAAAGGCACTAAAATCTCTTGATTTGATAGTATTTTAGTTCTCTTACTAATTGAAAACAATAATATAACTGCTAACTCGCTTTCTGTCGCTAAGTTTGGGCTGCACGCAATTTGTAAACAATTTAATAAGAATTCTAGTGGATTTTGTTCCATCATTGCAGCTTGCTGCTGCTCGGCTGCAGATCTACCTTCGTCAGAATTTGAAATATAAATTGTACGAAGGAGATTGCATAATTCTTCCATAAATCATGTCACTTTTTATTTTGTTTTACATTTTTGAGGAAATGAACTTCACTCGACAAAATTTTTATCAAAATGAAGAATACACAATCAACATACTGAGAAAATATGATTAATACAACTTTTGAACATAAATAAACAGAATTTTCTGTAATTTTTTGATATTTCTCTATGAAAATTATAAGAACTACCTTCATCGTTCATCTAAAGCAATATTGCAGTCGGTGGGCATGCATTTTTTCTAATCTTTTCTGATTTAACCATGAGAAAAAATTATATCTCATTTTTTAGATTATCGTATGATCATGTAATTTCACAAAAGTAATTTCCTATGACTGCCAAACATTGTTAAGCAAAAACATTTGAATTTCATATAAAAATTTTTATTTGAATCATACATAAAATAAAAAAACTGAAACATAAGTTAAAATGAGGTTACTTCTTAGCTGGTGATGTTGCTGTATCAAGAAGAGACAATTCTTGGATCTTTGAAGCTCTGATTTCGGAATTATTGATGAGTTGTGAGACGTAGTCAACTCTCTCTTGTAGTTCATCTATTTCCTTTTCAAGGTAACCTTCTTCTGGTGCTTCGTAGTTGAAAGGAGATAATTTTGGTCTAGTTGAAGGACTTTCGTCAGAACTATCAGGAATAACAATTAGTTCCTCATCCGTGCTAGAAATAACAAAGTTTGGATCATCATCGTCGTCAATTACTTCGCTTATATCAATAATTTCGCCTTCACTGATGAATTTAGGTTCTTTGTACTCTATCTTTGGCGGTTGTGGCTCTGGATCAGCTTCTACTGTCTCTTCTGCATCTTCAATAGTATCATATTCTTCTTTTTCATCTGGATCTTTGTTTTCTTGTTCATTCTCTGATTTATTCTCTTCGCTGAAGTCAGTGCATGAATCTCCTGATGAGTTTCTATGTACTTTGGAGTTTACATAAGCTTCTTTTTCTAATTTTCTGATTCTTGCTTTCAAATACTGACATTTGTCTATCCAGAAGTCAGCATCGTGGTCAATATCAATGAAATCATCTGGGAAATCATCTTCAACGTTAATTGGTTCATCACTGTCTGGATTCATCAGTTTAATGTTCTCTGATCTCAAATTCTTGATCTCATTCTTCAATGCATCGATTGCTTTCTTCTGTAACTCAATAGTTTCAGTGTTTTCTTTGAGTTGTGAAGAATGATTTTTGAGAATTTCAAGTAATTCTTGATTTTCCGCACTTGTTGAGTTATTTAATTTTTCTCCTTTGTTTTGTTCTTTTTGTTCTTCGTTTCTGAGAGTATTTTCGTCTTTTTCGTACTGTTCAACACGATCTTGCAATTTTTGGCAAGTATCTCTGATTTGAGAGAGTTCATCGACCATTTCTTGTGCATTCTTACCTTGAGAATAGGAAAGAGAGAAGAGCTGGTGACGGAGTAACTCATTTTCATGTTTTAATGAATCTAAAGCAAGAAGCTTGTTCTGAAAATCTTTGCTATCGGATTTAACACTTTCTAATGATTCATGAGCGTTTTTGAGGTGCTGATTTATCATTTCTATCTGATGCTGCCTTAAAAGCTCGTTTTCTTCAGTAAGAAAGCCGATTTGTTCACGTAATTCTTCAACTTCTTCACGTAATCCTTCGGAATCTGATTCATTGTCTGTTGATCCGTTATTTTGTTTTTCTAGTTTTGCTTTTTGTTTTTGGAGCTGTTGGATGATCTTATCTTTTTCACTAATTGTATTTAATGCCTGTGCATACAACTGTTGAGATTTTTCTAACTTTTTCATCGTTTTGATAATTGTATGCTTTTGTACTGTGTTTTCTGCTTTAAGTTTAGATACGCGTGAATCCTTTTTAAGTTTTACAAGCTCATCGACAAGTTTCTTGTTGTTTTCCTTCTCATGATCAAGAGAATCTTTTAATATTTTAATAGTTTCGTTAAGAACCTGGCTATTCTTTTGAGATTCAACATTGTTTAATGATGTTTTTTGTAAGTGCTTTAGTTCGGCAGTAAGTTCACTGTTTAATCTGATAAGGTTTTGATTTTCTGCGTAAATGTTCTTCATATTTGAATTATTATCGATTGCAATTGGTTGGCGTGAATTTACCTCGGATGCTTTCAGATGAGCGATAAGTGATTCCCTTTCTTTTGAAAGTTCATCACATCTCTGATTTAGTTGTCCTTCTAATTCCCAGTTCTTTGAAAGCTTGGCTTCAAGATCATCTATTTTAGATTTAATTCTTTGAAATTGTGGAGACGATCTCCTTGCTTGTTGAGGTGATTGCATTTGACAAATTTTTTTGATTTATTATTTTAGACGTTTAGGAATTCAAAATCTAATATAACCTCTAAGTGTGATTAATGAAAGGTATTACTTATGTGTGTTATTTTTTATGTTCATTTTTAGGCTGAATCCGGAAAGAATAGATTAAAAAATTTAAGATTTCAAGGAATTGATGTAATTGAATCACTACATATACTCTCTTCAAGGAAGAGTTAAAATTTGATTCGCGAAGTTATAGTAATACAAACAAATTATGCTTTAATCTTTGACAAACAAAAAAAATCTTATGGTTTAACTTATGCATCATGAAAGTTAAGCTTCTTTATGTTCTTGCGGAACCAAAATCTTCTTCTGAACCATGAAGTGTTATACAAAATTTCGAATAAGAAACAAATTACGAGCAATAATAAAATTATATAGTAGATTGGTATGTCTCTGTATGTCTGATAATTTATCAATGGTTTTATTATTTCTGTTTTTTCAATCACAGAAATATTTTTTGGTTTTGGAGTGAAATGTTCCCAAACAGGTTGACATCTTCCAGCACATTTAAAATATGCATTTTCATACTGAACATTAACATTTTCAGAGCAATAAACAGATTTTGTGTAGTAATCATCAATTCTAACACTATTTATACTCAAATTCATGTTTCCTGTTGCATAAATAAAAGTAAATCTTCCATTATTGAACTTTGATTCAGTTCTTTTAATTTCAGAATTATTTGAATTTTTCAGAAAAAGAGAAGGAGCAGCAGGAGCTTTGTTATATTTAAATGTGCACATGTCAGTTCTTAATTTAGAATCTTCTATGTATGCAACAGCTCCTTTCTCTGTGGCCTCACAAAAGAATGAATTCACATCAATCATTGAAATTGATGAATTTGACTTCGCAACTAACACTGATCCTTTCTTGGCTTTGCACCTAACAAATTCACATCTATCTAGTGAAATAGTCGAGTTTGTTGAGTCTATGACACTGAGTTTTGAACAGTTTTCAAAATTACATATTTCTATTGTTCCTTTTGATGAAACTGATGAAACGATGCAATGAGAAACTGAGAAATTGGATTTTTCAATTGAAAATTCCGAATCTTCGAATAAAGACCAAATATTATTTTGTTTTCCTATATAATTATTCTGTAAAACTACTGATTTTGTACTAACAACTCTTATAACAGATGAATTGATGTCATTTCCAAATGTATTCGAGAAATTACTTGAAATTATCTTTAATTTCTTCATATTTTTTGAATCAATTAGACAAGCTTTTGAATAGTAAAGGACTTTGTTTAGTGAGATATTTTGTGCTTCAAAATGACAGTTTTCAAGCTTAAACAAAGGAGAAAATAGCTTAACTCTATTTAGTGTTAAATTTTGTATATTACAAATGCCTACATTAGAATCAAGGATCGAATTCATTGAAGAATTAACTATTTGAACATTTGAAATTGATAAATTGATGTTTGATAAAATTATGTGATTTATCTTGGAGGAAGTAATAGTTGTATCATAAAGTATGAGATTACAATTTGTATCTAATAGGTTACATGACAATTTGTTAACTTTTATAACAGAATTCGTAAAATTTAAATGAATATTATTTTTTGTAAGAAAAGATTTAGAGCAATTTTCAATTGTTATGTAGCAATCATCAAATGTAACATAGCCACTAAGAGAAACTTGTTGCTTAACTAACGAAATTATTAAATTCAAATGTCTCAACGTAATTCTTGAGTATCTGTTCTGAAATGGTATTGAAACGTTATTTATTTCTATTGTATTATGATTTCCTTCAATGATATATTCTGATTTTGAATTATTTAGATATTTAGAAATTTGTTTCCAAAAATCTGATTTTTCGTCTAGTTTAATGCTATATTCAACTGAATTTGTAAGGTCCTTTAATACAATTGTTCGGTCTTTGAAGCATCTTGTTAAGATGACGAATAGAAAACCTAACAACAAAATAAATGACATATAAATAGGATACTCATTACTAACACTGGCTAAAAAGTAATGGATCCTGATTAATCAAGTTATATCTTTGAGACAAATTTCAAATAAATTTGAAAGTTGGGATTTGCATAATCATATCAATATATTCTATTTTTATATGATAATGAAGTGATATTTACCAAGTTTATGATTTATAATTTTTATTGAGTAATCATATGAGTGAAGCTGGTGCTCTTGACCCTGCCAAGATCAAAGCAGCACTCAAAATGACTATTCTTAAATGCAATAATCTTGAAGCTGAAATCGGAAAACTCAAAAATGACATAGAAGAAAAGAAAACTAAAATCTCGATGTTACAATCTATTATAGATACAACTACAAATGAAAGAGATGCTGCTAACAAAACAGTTACCGAACAAAATAATAGAATTGAAAAGTTAAATTCCGAAATCCAACATTTTGTCGAAAAAGAAAGCAAATACGTTCAAATTGGAGAACAAGCAAAGAAATTTGCAGCTGAGAGAAACAAACTAATGGAAGAAAACAACTTATTCAGGCAAGCAAATAATAATGTCAATGAAGTAGTTGAATCCGCAGCGAAGCTACGTGAAGAAAACAAAGAATTGCAATCCAAAGTCAACGAATTGCAAAAAGAAAATGATGATTTCAAGTCAAAAACCCTTCAAAATCAAGCATCTGCATTATTGGGTGGTTTTATGGGCTTAGTCAAGGGAGAAAGTCAAGAAGTTACAGAACTTAGAAAGAGACACAACGAAAGAGAAGCGATTTTGGCAAAAATTTCAACAGAAAATAACCAATTAAAGGAGAAATTGCAGAAATTAGAAGCAGAAAAGAATAATAATTCAGAGTACGAACAAATTATCGAAGAAATTACAAAAGAAAATGAAAATCTGAAGTCAAAATTACAAAATCAAAACAATTCAAGCGATGAAACACTCAGAAAACAGTTGCTTGAGAAAGACTCTACAATAAAATCATTGTCTGATGACAATAAATCCCTTTCTGACGAATTAGAAAAATTAGATTCAGAAAAAGAACAAAAAGAAAAGGAATTCATCGCAAAAATAAATGAATTACAAAATTCTTTGTCAAATTTGAACGATAAAAACAAAAATAAAATATCAGAATTAGAATTACAAAATCAGGCATTGAATAACAGTTTGATAGAGTTGAAACATAACAATGAAACGATTTTGATGGAGAAACAACAAATTGAAACTCAAATTTCAAATTTAATTTCTAAAAATTCTGAATTAGAAACAAAACTTCAAAAGATGCAGCAAATGAATGCAGGAAGTGAACAAGACAGAGATATAATTTCTGATTTACAGAAATCATTGGAATCATCAAATATCAAAGCCAAAAATTTGGAATTAACAAATGAAAATCTCCAAAAAGAAGGAAATTCGTTGAAATTGGAAATTTCTAAACTTAATTCAAATATTGAAAAATTAAATCAGGAAAAAATAGAAAACAACAACAAAATAAATGAATTACAATTAAATAATGAGAAATCATTAGAAAATCTTCAAAATCATCAAAAAATTATTGAAAAATTAAATCAGGAAAAAATAGAAATTACAAAGAAAATAAATGATTTGCAAAGTGTTAATGATAAATCTAAAGAAAATATCCAAAATTATGAAAAAATTATTGAAAAATTAAATCAGGAAAAAATTGAAAACACAAAGAAAATAGATGAATTAAATGATGTAAATGAGAAATCTAAAGAAAATATCCAAAACAATCAAAAGATTATTGAAAAATTAAATTCAAAATTTCTGGAATTTGAAAATCAAATGAAAGAAAAAGACAGTGAGATTGCGAAACTTCAAGAAGAGAACTCCAATTTCGTTTCCAATTTGCAGAAATCAAAAGAAGAAAGTGACAAAAATTTGACAGAAAAAATTCAAAATTTAATCAATGACAGAACGAAATTGAACAACACACTAAATGATTTAAGCAAAGAAAACAAAGAAATAACAGAGAAATACCAAAATCTTTCCTCAGAAAATGAAAAAACAAAATCACAAAATCAAAATCTTGAAAAGAACTTAGATTTGGCAACAAAAGAATTATCAACAATTAAAGAACAAAACAAAGAACTAGTTAAACAAAACCAAGATATGCAAACTGAACTAAATGATCTAAAAAAGTTTAAACAAGAAAATTTGACAAATTTACAAAATTATTTGAATTTGATGAAAGAAAGCGAAACAATCAAAACAGAAAACAAATCTTTGAAGACTAATTTAGAGAATGCAACAACAGAACTTCAAACAACAAAATCAAATTTGCAAAATTTGCAAAAACAAAGTCAAAATTTGGAAAAAAGAGCAAATTCTGCAGAAGAAACAGCAGAAAATGTTTTGCAGAAACTAAAACAACAGAATGAAATTAATAATAACTTAGAACTTAACTTGCAAACTCTGAAACAAGAAAATGAGATCCAAAAACGAAAAATTGATGAAAAAGAAAAAATTCTTTTGCAAATTCAGCAACAAAATGAAGAAAATGAGAAGAAAAACTCAGAGAATAAGAAACAAATGGAAACTAAATATGATATAATGATAAATGACTTGAAACAAGAAATAAATGAATTAAATGACCAAATTAAATCAAAATCAAAAGAATTGGATGAAATTAATTTACAAAAAGTGACAGAAAATAATATGAATCACGAAAAAATCGAAAAATTAGAGAATGAAAACAAGATGTATAGTGATAGATGTAGTGATTTGGAAAGCCAGTTGCAAAGCATGATTTCTGAATTAAGACATTTGAAGAGTGAAAGAGATTCAACTCCAGTTTTAAATTCAGAAAATGTCAACAAAATTATTGAAGGATTAAGAGAAGAAAATAAAGATTTGTCTGAGAAATTGAGTGAATCATTGGATAGAGAAAATAATTTGTTGAATGATGCAACAAATCATGATATGGAAATTACAAAACTCAAAGTGGATTTGTCAAATAAAAATAATCAAATAATTGAATTAAAACAAAAAGTGACAGAATTTTCAACAAAAGTGACAAATTTTGAAGAAATCAGTGAAAAGTTAAAAGAGAAAGAGCATGATTATGAAAGAATTAAGAATGAAAATGAAATTGCAAATGGTAAATTGCAGAGTTTGGATAAAATTAGAGGAGATTTATCAAAAACAGTTGATGAATTAAGAGAAAATCTTCAGAAAACTAATTTGAGTTTATCTAAAACACAAGATGAACTAAAACAGAAGAATGGAGCTTATGAAGAAGCTGTGAAAAGAATTGTTAAGTTAATGAAATACATAAAGAAAATAGAATCAAGAAGTCCTGAATATTTGAAGACAGTTTTGATTCAGTTTTTCTCCCAAAATGCAAAAACACAAGAAACATTAATTCCTGTAATTATGGAAATTGCTGGATGCGAACAAAATGAAATCCAAAAAGCTGTAGAGGATTGGAAATCTTCTCATACTATCTTGTCTTTTATGAAGAAATAAATTATAAAATGTTTGTTTAAAAAATTATAAAAACAATAATTTATTCGGACGATTTCAAAAAAAATTATTATGTCTGATCATTTATTTGTATGTTTATGATGCATTTTACCATTGTGTGATTGATGAAGATCCATAATTCTTCTTATTTATCTGTGAGTTTATGATTTTTCTAGACATCTTTCAGAATATGAACTAAGTTTCGTTAGATATGAAGTAATAAATGGGAATACTTCTGTAACAAGTATTTGATGGTCTCATTAAACTGAATGAACTATAATTCAACTTAAAAACTCTTATTAAATAATCGAAAAAGAACAATTTTTTACGAAAATTAATTAATAAAACAAACAAAAAATATTAAAAGTTAAAATGATTCCATGAGAGATTTGATTGATGTTTTGTTGTCAACAGCTCCAATTGATGAGGCGTTGATAACAATGTTATCTCCATTATCTCCAGAGAAGTATTCAACAGAGAATTCGCATTCAGTTAATGCGTCACTCAACAGAACAGAGAAATTCATCCATTCCTCAGCTCTGAATGGAAAAACAGGACTTACCGCAATTTTTGTAAGTAAATTCTTCGCTGTTTTCTCATCATAACAAATGTATCCGTGGTAAATTAAAACTCTTGTAACTGTCTCAATTGAATTCGTGTCAATCTGGAAATTCTCCAATATCTTCGATCTGACGTGTCCCAAAATATCTTTTTCGTCTTTTTGAGAAAAGAAATCATCATAAAACTTTGTCAATTTCCTTCTCATCGAATTTGAAATTTGAGTCGAAAAAGAAACAAAGAATTTGTAAATAATCAATGCATTGATTCTCAAGAATGAAGTTCCTATTCCATCTGTGACTTTCATCATCAAATTCAGTCCACTGACAAAATAATCGTTGTTTGTCAAATTGTCAATGGAATTTTCATCTCCTGTCAAACCAAAGAAAACAATATGTTTATCGTCTTTTTTGGCAAATTCAATTTTGTCAAATGGCAAAAATGTCAAAATACTTGATAACGGTTTTGACACTGTCAGATCTGATATTTGATGATTTAATTTTGTTCTTTGGCCCAAAATGATTCTCTTCATGAATTTCGAGTATTTTTTGAAGTCAATTCCTGGTTTAACAACATTCTGGAAATAATCCCAAATAAAACGGTTTTGTTTGTTAGGTGAACGGTTAAAAACGGTTGACTCATTTGCCAACAACAAAATAATTCCTGATGAATCATCTAAACTTTGGTATTTCAGATTTTCTATCGTCACAAAACCGTTTAAATTGAGAATATCTTCCGGTTTTGACAACCTCGCTTCAATACATGTCAAAACCGCCGAACCGTCAACAACGAAGAGACAATTATTTTCAGACATCAACGCGAAACCATTGATATCAACAAAAGTTCCTGTAGATAGTCCTATTTTTCCAAATCTCCATAATTCACTGAAATTTTCAAAAACGTGACGAGGTCTAAACAGAAAACGTGACAGTTTTGGTTGAGGACTTAAAATATCTATGTGTGGATTTCCTTTTGATGTCAGTCTGTTTCCTCTTGTTTCACTGGACCCTAAATGATAAATTCTGACACATAAACCTTCTTGTAAAGTGTCAAATAATTCCAAAGATGGTCTCCAAAAAGTGACTTCACAATCATTATTTTTAAACGGACAAAGATCAGTACAAAGTACTGTGAAGAAAGGAGTTGACTCTGTTTTGTAATCTTTCATGAATTCTTCAGTATAATTCCTGTAGAATTCGTCTACTTCTTTCTCATGTTTCTTGATATAAAATTCAAGTTCTTTTCTATCGTCATTTTGTAAACTATTCAAATATAATGATGGGTTGTCACTTTTCAAATAAATTTTCAATTTTGGACATTCGTTTAAAGAATCTGTTCCATCTTCTTCTAGTTCTTTTGACCACTGTATTCTTGCCTTTTCCAGATCATTCTGGAGTTGGTTCTCTCTTTCTCTTTCGTATATGTTTTGGAGAGTTTGGTTTCTGACAACTGATGTTCCGTCACTTTTTGATTCTCTGAATAAAAGTGGCAATTTCTTTTGAATTATTACTTCTATGTAAGGAACTAATCCTCCATTTCCAACCAAACTCCTTATATTTACAGGGAACAAAGCGATCTTTTGGAAACCTAAACTCTCATACCATTTTGCTCTTCGAACTGAATTCATTCTCATCATCAATCTCGTGCTGTTTGCTTTGCTTTCCAATGGATCACATGCATCTTCTCCATCAAGTGTCGCATTGCAAATTCTCAATTTGTCACCAACATTTATCTTCCCTTCTTTAAGGAGTTTGTTCAAATTAATGTCTAATGCTCCTTGTATTGAATACCAACCGTCAGTTAATTCAATCAAACCGTCATCAAGAATTTTTGACACGGCAAGAATAATGAATAAATTAGGGGGAGCATCTCTTTCATGGATTAGTTTTAGTGATGATCTTTTTGCTTCGTAAATCTCTCTTTGTATTCTAAATAACATTTCTGACAAAACGTTGTCAAATGTCAGAATTTGTTCGTTATTTTGTTGATTAATTTCTTTGTATGATAAATCTAAACATTTCAATTTCCAAACAATCCATTTGTAATGATTTCTCACCCATGATGGTTTTAGAAGTAATGGATCAACATTCTTTTCTAACAAAGCAACATATATATCATTAACTCCGCGATAATCAGGAGGAGGAAATCTGTAATTTAAAGCATCATCAGATGTAAATTCCATTGGATCATATTCCCTTTTTGGAACTCCTTTGTACTTCGAATATTCTTTCAATGTTTCCCTTCTTATATTGTTCGGCATCTCAAAAACTGTCACTAAACGATCAGGTTTTGCTATCGTCTTTGTGTCACTTTTCATTGGAGTTACTGGCGCAGTTTTAGAAGTCATTGTTGGCGGTTTGAAAGGTTTCTTTCCTTGTGGTGTTTGAGAGTTTCTATTTGATTGTGAAGTGACTAAAGTAGATGTTGGTTTTGGTTTTGTTGGAGTTGCCATTGCAGAATTTCCAACATAGTTAGATAATGCCATTCCTGAAGGAGAGAACTTGAATGAAGAAGGAGATGGAGAGGCAAGAAATGTTGTTCTGTTTGGAGTTCTTAAAACAGCTGATGATTGAGATGATCTTTGTGACAAATCATCGAAAGAAGGAAGAGGAATTTCTGAATTTTTGGAGATAGATGTTTTTGGAGTTCTTTTTAGTTCATATTCTTTTTCAGCTGAATCCATAATTGATTGTGCTTTTCTCAATGATTCCTCTGATGGATTTAATGATTTTTTACCATTCGCTGTTGAAAAACCACTAAATTGTTGTTTACTTTCTTGTTCTGCATCATTCATTATTTGTTGTGCTTTTTTCATTGATTCTTCAGATGGAACTAATGCTTTCTTTCCATTTGCTGTACTAAATCCAGAAAATTGTTGTTCATTACTATCATTAAATATATTTTGTGCTTTTCTCAATGATTCTTCTGATGGATTCAGACTTCTTTTTCCATTTGCTGTTGAAAAACCTGAAAATTCTTGTTTACTTTCATTTTCTGCTGAATCCATGATTTGTTGTGCTCTTCTAATAGAGGCTTCAGAAGGAATAATTGGCTTCTTTCCATTTGCTGTACTAAATCCAGAAAATTGTTGTTCATTATTATTATCGTTAAATATATTTTGTACTTTTCTTAATGATTCTTCTGAAGGCATCAAAGACTTTTTGCCATTAGCTGTTGAAAAACCTGCAAATTCTTGCTTACTTTCTTGTTCTGCTGCATTCATTATTTGTTGAGCTCTTCTTAATGATTCCTCTGATGGAACAATTGGTTTCTTTCCATTGGCTGTAGAAAATCCAATGAATTGCTGTTCATTGTTAACATTAAACATTCCTTGTACTTTTCTTAAAGAGTCCTCTGATGAATTTAATGATTTCTTTCCATTGGCAGTTGTAAATCCTACAAATTGTTTTTCACTTTCTATTTCAGCAGATTTCATCAAATTCTCTGCTTTTCTTAGTGATTCTTCAGAAGGAATTAAAGATTTTTTACCATTTGCAGTACTAAATCCAACAAATTCTTGTTTACTTTCTTCTCTTGCATTATCCATAATTTGTTGTGCTTTTTTCATTGATTCTTCTGATGGAATAATTGGTTTCTTTCCATTTGCAGTTGTGAATCCAACAAATTGTTGTTCATTATTATCACTAAACATATTTTGTGCTTTTCTTAATGCATCTTCAGATGGATTTAAATTTCTTTTTCCAATTGCTGTTGTAAATCCTTTGAATTCTTCTTCGGCAGATTTCATTAAATTCTCTGCTTTTCTTAGTGATTCTTTTGATGGTTGCAAATATTTCTTTCCACTAGCTGTAGTAAATCCAACAAATTGGTTCTGATTTTCATCATTATTAAACATGTTTTGTGCTCTTTTCATTGATTCTTCTGATGGATTTAATGATTTCTTTCCATTAGCAGTTGTAAATCCAACAAATTGATTTTCTCTTTCTATTTCAGCAGATTTCATCAAATTCTTTGCTTTTTTCATTGATTCTTCAGAAGGAACAATTGATTTTTTACCATTAGCTGTTGTGAATCCAAGAAACTGATTTTTGTCATTAAGTTGTTCATTGTTTGTGTTTTCATTTGGTATTTCTTTGGAATCTTGATTAGATTCATCAAATTTCGCTGTAATTTCTTTTTGATTTGTAGAAATTGATTCATTTGCAATGTTTTTGTTGTTTTCAAGTAGTTTTTGTGCTTTCTTTAATGAATCTTCTGATGGAGTAAGTGGTTTCTTACCACTAGCGGTCATAAACCCAATAAACTTCTCTTCTTTGTTGTTTTCATCAGTGTTTTCATTGTTTTGTTCTGTTTCTTCTTTGATTTCGGCATTTTGATTTGAAATCTCCAATTTTTCGTTTGTAAATTCAGTAGAATCGGTATGATTTTGCTGCAAATCTGTTGTTTCTTCTGTTAAGTTTGAGTTTTGATCTGTTTCCTTTGAAATATTTTCTTCATTTGTTTTTTCTTCATTTTTCTCAGTAATTGCATCATTAATGTTGTTGCTTTGTAAACTGTCACGCTGGGTATCATTGTGATTATTTGTAGAATTGTCAGTATCTTGATTTTCATTTTGTTTAGCTGAAAAATTACTGGAATCTTGCTTGCTGGCATTACAATCTTCATTTTCTTCATATTCTTTGTGATTTTCTTCAGCTACATCAATTGAAGGAGGAAAGTCATAATTTGAAATTGGAGTGTGTGGATCACAAGCAACATTACTTGCATCAGTAGCCCAGTTTGGCTCTGAAGTTTCGTTATAAAGTGAAACTAGCTTGTCAATAGAGTATGTTTGCTCATCCATCTAAAAAGGGAAACGAAAATCTTTCACTTTTCGTGTAAAATTTTCAAGAAAATTATCGTCAGGGAAGTTCACTAGTTCACAAGTGAACCTAGCATTTATAGTTATCTGTAGTGGAATATCAATGAATATCATCATTGCACTCGATTTATGACATTTTCTTTTAACTGTCATACAGATTTTCTTATACGAAAATTCAACATTAAGTTTAATAAGTCAACAAAGCATATTTAGTAGTAATATATTATGCGAACCAACAGTTTGTGTATTAGTATCTTTCTATTCTGTCTATGGAAGCATAATCAAGAAATTTCAATAAGCAAGAAAAAGTATTCTTGGTATGTGGGGCCTTTATACTACGGCATTTTTGATTTGTCAGAAATATTAGGTTGGTATTGAGAGAATAAAAAATATAGAAAATTAATTTAGCAAATTATATGCCAATAGTATAATATAATTACATAGTTTAAAAGGTAAGTAAAACACAAGTATAAATCATTCCATAAGTCCTATAACAGCACGAATATGCTCTCCAGTCGCAAAAGTAGTATCGTTAAATGCATCAGATATAACAGCGCTAAATGTAATTTTGTCTTTGTTAATCTCCTTAACTTTGCAGGTATATTTGAGCTTAGTTCCAAAAGGAATATCAATTGGATTGTTAACATTTAGTAAAAATCCGACCGATTGGAAGCGATTTTTATCGAGTATTTCGGCAGAGCATAGTTCAATGTCGTGAACTAAATCTGACATCTTCAAAATAAGATTTCCGTGTTTACCTGTAGGATTATATGTATTAATCGGATGGACGATTCTTTCCCAAATATTTACGTCACCTACTTTAATGCTTTTTTGGATATCAGAAGTCTTGCTTTTTTGCATCGAAAATGTCACTTTTTAGACAATATCCTGATTAGATTGATTTGAAAGGAAAAGTCAAATCCATGAATCATTTTAATATGTATTTATGCCAGTAACTGCTATCCTATAGATTGATAATGATAAATCACTTGTTTGATGTATAATAGCCTTTTTTCGGAAATCTTTTTTCTGAATTTTTTTTTCAGAATTACCTCGGAAAAAAATCCTCACATGCAAAACTATGGACAACAACGAGGTAATCAATCACAAAAGCCTAGTGTAGATATATACTCAACACCTACACGTGGTGGTAATCAAAATTTCATGCAATCACCAATCCGAAATCAGGATCCACAAATTCCACCAGGCTATGGCTCTCAAAATCAATATCCGCAAGGATTCACACCTGGCTATCCACATCCTATGGCTTTTATGCCTCCGCCGCCTGGTTTTTACCCACCTCCTCCATATATGGGACAAAGGCCTGGAATGCCACCTCCAAATATGATGCTTCCAGGAATGCCATATCCACCAATGCCACCACCAGGATATCCAATACCTCCTCCTGGTTATAATCCAATTGTTCCTCCTCCAGGCTATCCACCAATGGGATATCTTCCAGGAGGAATGCCTCCACCTGGAATGATGCCCGGAATGTATCCTCCTCCAGGAAAATCTCCAACTCATCAATTTTCTACGAATTCTCCTGGACAAAATTATCCAGATATGCAGCAAAATCAATATCAGCAAAGCGCTTACCAAATGCCTCCTAATCCAAATAGATATTCTCAAAGAAATTATCAATATAACCAACAGATGCAATACGGTAACAATGGACGTGATATTAACATTCAACAGCAATATCCAAACAATCCTCAGCAACAACAACAAGGAAATTTCCAACAAAATACGAAATTATCTTCTGGTCTTTCAGCAGCAGCCAAATTTGTTATACAAGCGGAAGCTCCATCACAAAAATTTGCTCCTAATCCTCAGAAAACTCAGCAACAGCCAATTCAACAAAATCCAACACCTCAATACGGCCAAGCTGGAATTTCTGCAGCTGCAAAGCTCGGAATATCAATGCAACTACCAAATGATCCGAAATACCAGTCACAACCGCAGAATGTTAATGTTGACAGAGAAAATGCGATTCGAAATGCCTCAAAATTCGGAATTACAGCTGAACTACCAGGCGACAAGAAACAAGATAATCAACAGTTCAGACAAACAGCACTTGCGGCCCATTACGGAATCAATGCTCAGCCTCCAGGTTCATCATCACGAATTCCGAACAAAGAAGCGAACGTAATCATTGCAAGTGAGTTTGGAATCAAGGCAGAAATACCAGGAATGAACAAACCAAAGCAACAACAGTATTCCCAAGTATCTCAAATTTATCCACAGCAACAACCAATACAAGTACAGCAGAACACACATAAACTGTCATTCGGAAGGGTTGGAAACATGGATAAACCATCAAAAGCTTTGAATAGTTTTGGAATTTCGATACAAAGGCCAAATCAGGATCCAAACGAAGACCAATACCAAATGCAGCAACAACAAGAATACCAGTATCAGATGCAACAGCAGAATCAGTATCAAATGCCTGAGAAATCGTCACATAGAAAGAAAAAGAGGAAATCTCCTTTACAAAACCCAATTCCTTTACCTCCTGAAGATGAAATTGTTGAAGAACTGTTATATGACTATGGCGAAGTTTTCCCTGAAGATTTCGAAAGATTTTTGCCAGATTTTATTTATGAATATATTTATCAGATATTAGATACAGTTCCAGACGATTGCTTGAGACTATTGACTGATATTAACCTCGATGAGAAGATGACACAGCTTTCTCCTGAGTTCGTCAACGCTGTAAAACTTCATAAGATTAATCCATCAAAATATCCGATGCCAGAAGATCCAGAGCCACCAGAACTACTTCAAAGACGTCATAGACATGATCGCAAACACAAGCAAACATTGGTTGTTCAGAAGAAAGCACAAATTTCTGAATCTTACTCTGATTTAGACCAAGAATACGAAGAAGAAGAACCTAAATCAAAGAATGGATTAGTTATATCTAAAGGATTCATTGGAAAGTCACAAACAAAGGAAGAACCAAAGAAAGTCACAAAAGAAGAAAACAAAAAACCAAAAGAAACAAAAATTGAACAAAAGAAAGTTGATGAACTTGGTCCTCAATTTGTTATTAAGAAAGACACTCAGAAACAGAGACAAGAATCATTTGAAGAAGAGGAATTCAATGAAGAAAACAATGATTTCGGTGGAAATGTTGTTTTGATGAAGAAACAACAGAAATTTGAAGAGGAAGAAGAGTTTGATAACATGGCTGATGACGAAGACTTAGGTCCATCATTTGTAATGGAAACAAACTCAGCTCAACAACAGGACAAAGACATTTCAACTGCATTCGAACAGATCTCTCAACAAGAACCAGTTGAATTCATTCAAAAAGAAGAAGAAATCAAACAAAATAATGAAGAAGAAAAGAAAGTAATTCCAACTGAAAAAGAAGAAATTAAACCGAAGCAAGAAATAAAGAAAGAAGAAGCCAAACCAAAAGAAGAAAAGAAAGTTGAAGAAACTGAAATCAAAGAAAATACTTCAACTAAACCAAATGAAATCAAAGAAGAAATTAAACCAACAATTGAAGAAAAGAAAGAAGAAACAAAAGAAATCGAACAAACAAAGAAAGATGAAATTAAAGAAGAGCCAAAGAAACAAGAAGAAATCAAACAAAAAGAAGCCGAACAACCAGTACAGAAACAAGAAGAACCAATTGAACAAAAGAAAGAAACAGAACAACCAAAACAAGAAGAAATCAAAGAAATCAATCCACCAGAACAAAAAGTTCAAGAACAAATTGAACAAGAGAAGAAAGAAATTATTCCAGAAAATAAAGAAAAGAAAGAAGAAAATAAGATGGAAGAAGAGGAAGAACAGAATCCAAATGATGAAGACATTCAAGCAGAGGAAGAAAAGCCAGAAGACATGGCAAAACCAGGAGAAGAAGAGGAGGAACAGAAAGATGAGGAAGAAGAAGACATCGATGAAATGCTTGGAGATATTGAGTATTTCCAGGGATCTGATGGAGTTATCTATGACAGATTTTGGCCAGAAAACGAAATGATCTATGAACAACTCCATGAAGCATTTCCACTTACATTTGCATCATTTTATCCTGAAGAATACGCAGATTACATTAATCATTACATTGCAAACGCAAGAGATTTCATTCATTTCACAATGGATCCAAACTTTGACAAGCAAATGACTCCTATTTCTAAAGAAGACATAGAGAAAGCACTTCAAAAGAGAAAACAAACAGAAGACAGCAAATCAATAACTATCCAGAAATCATCAGATAGCTCTAAACAATTAAAATTAGGTAAGTCTGATACAGAACAAGAAAATAAAAATTCTCAAAAAATTGACAAACAAGAAGAAGATTTATTCAAAGCATTTGAAGATGACATTGATGATGAATACGATGAATTCAAAGATGTATACGTCGAAGGCGAAGAAATCGAGCCACCTGTCGTAGAAAAGCCAAACAAAGAAGTCAAAAAGAAAGTTGAAGTCAGAAAGATGACAGAAGAAGAAAAGAAATCTGCCAAAGAAAAAACTGACTTGGCAGAAATAGCTCAACCAATTTTGACAGAAGAAGATGAACCAGTCATCTTGTCTTTCCCTGATAGTAACGAAAACTACATTCGTTCTAAAGACGGAAAGTTCATCTACAAGATTCCACAAGGATACGAGAATTTACCTCCTGATTCATTGTTGGAAATGTTGGAAGATGAAAATTGTGGAAAATTCACACCTGTAACGGTTCCACAACAACATGATGAAGAAGAGGAGTTTGCTGCTAATGAACATGATGATTTACCTGATTCTTTGTTTGCTGCGAATGATTCTAAACCAAAACAAATTGTTTTAGGAAGTAACAACATTGTTGTTGAGAGAAGAAAACCAGGAGATCCAATTCCTGAAAATGTTCCTGTTAGATTTGAAGATTTCGAAGATGATTTCGACTTCGAAGAAGATGATTTCCAAGTTTATCATAATCCACAGTTTAATATTCCAACAAATAACAACAACGGTGCCGGAGATATTCCTCCAGACATGTTGGAAGCAATGTTAGGAATTCCTGATGATACAAATATGTATAACGAAGACGAATTATACATGAGAAGACAAGTTAAACCAGGTCCAATAGTAGTAGAAAGACCTAAGAAAACTCAGAAATAATATATTATTTCAATCAAAAGAAAAAAATCAAAAAAATATTGTGAATTTATAAAAAAATTATTTTTAAGTTTATTAATATGCTTTTTATAATATATTTCGATTCATATCAACATATTTTTCTTAAATAAGTTTTATTGTGCCTTAATCAAAATCAAATTGTTTTGAATTTTTAACATGTGTTAGATCGAAAGCTCAAATAAGTCAAATGTATTGGATGTAGTAATGATTCACTGATTCTCAATAGATATTTTTGAGATGAAACAACAGAAATGTTATATATGAAGTACAAACCTTGGATAATAGGTGATTTATAAAAGGCTATTGAAAAACAAAGCATTAAAAGATAGATTCCATGGATTTATTAAACGATTACAAACAATAAATTAAAAAAAAATATAATAAATATACAAGATTAAGCTATTTCAATCTTGAATCCGATTGTTAAAACTATGTACAGGATCTCAAGTAATACTAAAAATACGAAAAATCCAATTCCAACCTTACAGTTGGTATCAATTATAAAACTAGATGAATCTTCTTGTGTGTCGGCTTCAAAACGACTGAAAAGAGTATCTTTGTATTCAATTTTGGATGTCGGCTTTGAAGGAAAAATTTGCAAATCCTCAAAAACTGGTCTTGGACGCTCTTGATTACCCTCTAACTCTGCCAATGCTTGATTTGATTCTGAATGCTTTAAAGAACTTCTTCGATGTTTCTTTGGTAAATTGAGTGTTTCTTTTAGTGTTTCAGACATTGAACTGCTTGAATCGTCAATTGAAGCATCATTTTCTTCTTTTTTCTTATATTTTGAACGCCTTTTAAAGAAATTCTTAGTAATTTGATACATTTGATTTTCGTTCGAAAGATTTATTAAGCTTGGAACATTTTCTTTGACTCTGTTGCATGTTTGGATTGATGTTTCACCTTCAAGCGGTGCAGTTTCTATCTCAATCGAAGGTTCGACCATGAAAATTTTATAAACTTATTCAAATTAATTCAATATGGTCAAAATTTTGTCAACAAAATAGCAAATGCCTGTCAATTGTCATAACATCCGGATTTATCACGTAATTTAGCCAATTTCCCTTGGAAAAATGATCGAAAAAAATTCAATCTAATTAAAATGAACCATAACCTAAACAATAATTATATATTGCATATGTATGCTCTAAAAGTTGGAGAGAAATTCGAATCTTCCCACTAATACAACCATCATATTTCAGATATTAAGCTCTACCCTTTTGTATGCACTTATTAAAGGAACTACGTATGCATATTTCATGTACAACACTTACAGACTCATTCAGTATCAATTTAGCAGATAATTTCTTTGATTTCGAAATTTGATTTCAAAATTAAGTAGATTATCGCATTATAAATAATATTTTTGGTGATCGGTAATAATTCAGAATTTTTCATCTGCAAAATTTTCTATCGTCGATTTGAGTGGTCAAAAAGAATAGAATGGAGGAAATTAAAGAATTGCTTGTTAGAGATGTAGTAATCTCGAATAAAACACTCAGACAAGCTGATAATATCCTAAAAAACATTCTTGAGAAGGATGCTTCTCAAGCAATCAAAGATTTATCCTCTCTTTTCTGCGACCAAGATGCAAAACTATTTCCAAACAACTTCCTTCAGCATGCTGTTACACAAGTAGCAGGAAAGCAATTAGCTGATCAGTACGCTAATCTATGTAAAGAAAAATTAAAACTTTCTTTCTGGGAAGCAATACCACCGAACGTTTGTTCATTGATCAACTTTTGGACAATGTATGGAAACAAGATTACTTTCGAAGGAAAAGAAGTCTCATTTGTTCTTACAATTTGCAGAAATATCTTAAAATTCCCACAACACTCATTCAAAACTCTACCAAAAGTCATTGAAGGCTTTGTTGCCTTTGTAAATGAAACCAATTTCAGTTTTGGTATCGAATTACAAAGCCTTGAGAACGATTTCGAATCAACACACTTACTTTCCTACTTTACAACAGCATTTCTCAATGTTGCCAACCACGAAATGAACTACGAATCTCTTGGTGCTATCAGATTCATTGCCAGTTCCATGATGCACCTTCATTCCCAAGAAACTCTCAAAGGTGTCTTCTCAGTCAACCATCTCTCACAGCATTTACTTTCCAAGATGACTCAGCAAAGGTTTATCTTACTTTTGGCCGAACTCGCCAGAGAAATGAAGTCATCGGAAGACGCATTAGGAGTTTTTGACCGTGCATACAATCTATCGAAGACATCAACAGATCCAGATGTTCTTACGAACTGTTACAACGCTGTAACTCTTGCGATCACTACAATTGACAACATGAAAGACAAATTACAAGAATGTTCTGATCTAATGCTCAGAGATTTCTCAACAGCTAATGACCAAGTCAGGCTTTCTTTGTGTAGAATGTTCGATGCAATAATAAAGAGAGCAGAAAAAGAAGATTCAACAGTTGATGTTTGTCACTTTTTCATTGATGAATTTCTTGACATTCCATGGAATTCAAAACTAAAGAAATACACGATGCCAACACTTTTACAATATGTACATCCAGACAAAAGTGTTCAGTTACTAGAGACATTGTTAAAAGCATCAGAAGACCAAAACAACAAACCGTTTATTGCAAAATGTATTGCATCTTTTACTGGTCTTAAATATATCTGTTTGTCTTTCATTGATGTGATGATTAATGATGCAATCAATACATCACAAACAGCTGCATTAATTCCATTAAATGCTCTTCTTTTCCCTCTTTTAAGAGCGAACAAAGATTTAATTCATATTATGTATGAAAAAATTACAAAAGTGACACAAAAATTTGCCAAAGCGTGGTTGAAATTTGAACTTGTTATTGCAGCTCCTTCTGTAACAAAAGAAGTTAATTTTATTTCTGAAATAAGGGAAGATCTTAAATACGCCCGTAAAAATGGAAATTGGGATTTAAGGTGTCGATCAATGCATGCTTTTGCTTATGCAGGATTTCCTTATACAGAGGAAGATTGCGATGATTTCGTAAATGACATGGAAGGAATTATGTTGATTGACTCAACAATTCATCAGACAGCAATTTGTGATTCAATGAATGAGTTGTTCAAAAGAATTTCCACTCAAGGAAAGAAATTTTCAAATTTAAACACACAAAAATTCCTTGAAAACTTACTAAAGGTTGTAACAAAACATATGGGATCTTGCTATATCCCAACACAGAGATCATTCAGTTTCACAATTGCGAATAATTTGTGGAAATATTTCCCTCAAATTCATTCGAATGAAGATTTGATACTTTTGGCGTCACTTTTGAACGATAGAGCATTTGACATCAGACAGCAAGTTATTTCTACAATGAGAGAACTTGCAAAACAAGATAATGTCAAAGATTTGTTCGTTAATCTCAAATCAGAAGATGTAGAAAAATTTGTTTTGAGATTAGAACAAAAAGTGACGGTTAAAATTGAAGAAAAAGATTTTCCACCGATGGAATACGATCAGTTAGTTAAGATCAAGTTATTACTAGCAAGAAATGACACAACAGTTGATAATTGTGAATTTTACAAAGAAAAAATTTTTGATATCTTATATTCAGAAAAATTTGATGAAAATCATTGGGAAACGCAATCAGAGTTCTTCTCAGTTTTGTCTTACATCTGCTTAAAACTCAAATCAGATATTTCCCCAGAAAAAATTGAAAATGCAACTAAAAAAGTGTTTTTGTCACTTTTCAACACAAGAATTCCAGGCTTTGTTTGTCAAAGTGTTGAAACACTTGAGAGATTCCTAAAGATCTGTTATTACATTGGCAAATCTAATGTTGCAGATGAATTCACAGTCAAACTCATTGAAGCACTGAATTCTTATGACATGGCAAATATGAGGAGATCTGCAGGATTACCATTCTTAGCTTTGGCGTTGATTCGATCAGAACCAGCTAATTCACCACTAAATCTGTTTGTCAGACTCATCACTGCATTGATTAAGTTGATAAGAGAGACAGAGAATGATACAGAAGCAGCAAACGCAATGAACATTCTCAAAGCAATTGTTAATGAATCTGAATCTTCTGCAAAATGTGAACCTTTGTTTGGAGAAATTTTAGCAGTAATATTTGATGCTGCTTACAGATTTAAATCATGGGATGTTATTTCTGCTGTTGATTTAACATTAGTTGCTTTCTTACATAAGACTTGCAACATTGGAGGAATTGATGCAGCTGCTTCTACATCAATTATTCGCTACCAGTTCTTCTCTAAAATACAAAATTCAAGAGAAACTCTTTTGACAGCTTTGAACTCATTCAATTCTCACGCAATTTACATGGCAAATGCCATTTTAGAATTGTTCAAAGCAGACACAGGAGATAAAGAACTGAGTGAAGCAATCATTCAGCACTTGCAATCGAGATTATCAAGAATAAGAAGAGTTGCAAGTCGTGCTTTGTTGGCTGTTTATCCAATCACTGAAAGAAGGAAATTATTTGATATTTTGTCAGAAAGAATGTGCGGACATGGCTGGAATACTTTCCATGGATGTGTCTTGGCAATGCGATTAATAAGTGAAATAGAAGATGTCAAAGGTTGCTACGTTCCTTACATGAATGTAAATGTCATTCCTCCAATGGCAAGAGAAGATTATTTGATCTGTGCAAATGCAGCGAAAGTCAACATTCAACCACTGAAATTAGTGCAAGGACACTTTATTTCTGATGAAGCAAGTGCATTGGCATATTGTGGAATTTTCAGTGACACAATGACTTCGAGAACAATTGTTCCTTTGTTGAGAAATTGGAGTGAAAACAAAGAAGTTCCGAAAGAAATGTTCGATTTCCTTTTGTCAAAAATCATCTCTGATGATGTTTTGGATATGAACGAAGCTGTTTCTATCAATGCTTCTCAGTTCTTGTCAAAGAGATTGCCAAATAACTATATATCGAATGAGAAACTTCCGAAGTTGATTGATTTAGTAATGAGAGCTCATTCTGTTGCATTAAGAAGTTCTTTGATTTCTTTGTTGACAAAAATGGAAAATCCTGATATCAAAGAAATCGAAAAATGCAGAGATTTGTTCATTTCTGAGTCAATTGATTTCTCTTCTAAGATGACTCCTGTTCATTTATCATTGGCTTCTATTACGAATTTACTTCTCAAGTCAGAGAAATTGATTCCTGTTGTTTTCTTGTTAGTTATGAATGATATTCCTGCTGTTAGAACGAAAGTTTTGTCTTCTTACGCATTGATGAATAATGATGATATGAAATGCGAAATGTTCGTGATGGATGAGTTGTTGAAGAAGATTTCAAATGAAACGAAACATGAAATTGCAAAATTATGGATAAAGAATTTAGAAAATCAGTTGGAAGTTGATGAATGGGGTGAACCAACTTCTTTGTTCGTAGATGAACTGTTCATTCCTAGATATTGCGTCCCAGAGATTAATAAAGCAACAAAGAATATAAATCCATTACTTCCTATCTTAGAAATGAGAAAAGAATTCGTGAATATCGCAAAGAATTTAGCATAAATAAAATAATAAAGATTTTATTCATTTTTAAAACTTTTTTGTTGGCTTTTGTGTTTCGCTAATCTGATAACTAATATTCATGATTTATCGGTTTTTCCCCTATAATAGTTACTCCATGTTTGAAGTAAGTATGAATTGTTTTTAAAAGTGAAAAACGATAGCGTATATCTGGTCGACCATTATATAAGGCCAAATACTCTTTCAAAATATTCATTGAATTTATAAAATTTGTGAAATAATGATAATAATTGGAAATAGAAAGATTTTTTGTTCTTGTAAAATTTTTAATTCAATAGTTTACAATGAGCTCTCTTAAAAAATATGGAAGAGAATGATTTACCTTCTACGCTATGTCAGAAGATTACGATGATATTTGTAGCTATATCAAACAATATATCATTCTTTATTGTGCTTTCTAGCGCTCAAAGAATTATTTCAAGATATAATCAGCCAGGATTTTTACCAGCCATTGACCTTGCTTTAAGTTTCAGTGGTCTTTTTGCTGGTTCAGTTAATACAGCACTTACTCAACGTAATGTTTCATACGATATTCGATTTCTTTCGATAGTTATTTTAATGGGAGTTGGATACATTGGTTGCGCATTTGCTCCTCAATTCTGGATGTGCTTAGTATCTGTTTTTCTACTTGGTGCATCTTGTTTCTTCGGAGAATCTGTTATCATTGGTTACATGGCTTATATCAAGAAATCTTCAATGATGAAATCATGGGGTATTGGAACTGGTGTTTCAGGAATAATAGGTTCTTTACTAGCGATTATGTTCATTGACATTGAATTTAGTTATTCTCTCTCATTTTTATGCTTTTTACCATTTGTCGCAATCATGGCAGTATCATATTTCTGTATCTTACGAGAGAAACCACCCACATTAGATACAAAACCATTAGTTTCCGAAAATACAGAAACAATTACAGAAAATGAGGAGAAACTAAACTCATGCTCACCTGATTTCCTCAAGAAAGTCGTTTACTACTTCCTTACATATGACATTATATATTTTTCACAAGATGTGATTGCAACTACATTTCTTGACTGTGCTCAGACCCAAGATTACCACGCAACACACAAATATATCTTCCCATTATTGATGCTATTCGAAAATATTGGTATTTTGATCTTTTGTACTTCACTTTCATTTTTCCAGTTCCCTCATCTCAGATATTTAACTGCTTTCCAAGTTTTGAACTTCTTTGCCTGGATGTTGCAAGGAATCTATCATTGGATGCCAATTTGGTACGAATTCCTTTCTATCTTTATTGTGGGATCAATTGCTGGTTTGACTTATGCCAATACCTTCCATATGATACTTATTGATAATAAATTAACAGCTCGCGAAAAAGAACTTGGATCTAATGTTACAACGTTCAGTTCTACTGTTGCAATTGTTTTTGATACGATGTTTGGAATCATTGCAGAAAAGACATTCCTTAGTGCTTCTGTTCCAAGAAGCTGAACATATCTTATACTATTTGTTATCAAATAAATAAAAATCTATCTGTTATATTAGTATGTTTTAATTGCCTAAACTATACATGAATATAGATCAAAGCATTTGGCTAAACTTTATTTCATGTGAATAATTCAAAATAATTATTTAAAATATCGTTTAAATCCATGATGAGAAGCATCTTAGGCTAGATGGTATATGGAAAACCTAATCAAATGTTACATAGCTTATTAACGAAAATAAAATTTATCGAAAGTGTTCACTGTCATTATTTAATACTATTCAGATGAGGTTTCTCTGCAACCCAATGAATGGGAATCATTACGAAGCTTGGGAAAATTTTACGAAATCTGGAAAATTTCTGATTGCTGACATGAGATTTATCTTCAAATCTGATATATTCTACTCCCTGGCCATGTATATGTCCATAAAGAATCAGTAGATTTTCAATTGAATAGATTCAGTGCCTTGTTGATGATGCCCTAAATTTTTCCTATTTTTGATTTCACTTATGAATTTTTCAATAAGAGCAAAAATTTTTCATCAATTATTTTTCGGATCATTTTTCAATAATGAAGCTAGATCTATCTAAGGTTCCATCTTCACGCGTTGCTGTAATAATGACTGACGAAAACGATGACTTCAAAGCCCTCTCAGAAGTCATCAAAGACGGTGATATTATTACAACTCAGATTCGAAGGAAAATTGAAATAGGAAGCACAAAGAAAATCGAAATTCATGTTGCACGTGTTGAGATTACAGGCGTTGAATTCGAGCTCGGCTCAAACGAAATGTGGCTAAGTGGAAGAATTGCTGACAACTACGAGTTCGCTAAGGTAGGCGCCAGTCAGAGAGTACTTCTTCGTTTGGGTTCCAAATTCGAACTCTGGAAACATGAATGGACAAGCGAGGAAATAGAAAAACTGAAATGTTCCCAAGACAACAGTTCCGGCGTCGAAACATTAGTAATCCTGCTTGGCAAGCATTCAGTCTCTATTTATAACCAGCTCGGCAAGCACATTGCAACGAGCCACTACACTAATGAAGGGAAATTGTACGAGGAAACCCAAAAGCTCCTAGAAGACCTCGATAAATCTGATCTCAAGTGCATCCTACTTATCTCATCCAGCTCTCCAACAGACAAACTCTACAGTTATTTATGCGATAACTCACTTGCTTTGAATATCGCAGCAGTTGCCAAAGATAAAGCCATCCTCCAAGGAACATGCAAGGCAGATACAACAGAAGGAGTACTAGAAGCCATCGCCAAACAGCAGCACATTATCGATAATTACATTTACTCGATGTACATCAACGAATACCAGAAATTCAACCAGTCAATGCTCATGGATATCGATAAGGTCGCTCTCGGCAATGACAACGTAAAGAAAGCTACACAATACGGTGCAATTGACACTCTTTTCGTTACAGAGGACTACATAAGGAAAATTGAGGACAGCAAGAGAGCCGCTTTCAACAAATTCATTGAATACCTCAAATCTACTGGTTCAAACGTTTTAATTCTTCCAAAAAGACTTGCACAAAATTCAGAGCTAAACAACTTATCAGGTATTGCTGCAACACTTAGATTTAAGATTTAATCTACTTCTATATGTTTGTCTTGTTTGTTATATAGAGCTCTTTGGTTTCTGAAGTTTTATTTTTATTTTAAAATTTTATTATTTATAATTAATTTCTTTTTCATATAGATAATCATACTTCATTACGATTTTAAAGCTTAATCTCTATTGCTTTAATGAGTTTCTGGTTAAGATTTTTTCAATATGCAATCTCAACCGTTAAAGTGATAATTGGAAATAAGAAATTGCATTATATACTTGTAACAGATATATTGGCGTGATAATTGGATATATTAGGGAAAAATTAATTTATCGAGGTTAATTATGTTAAAAATGATGATTTAAGCATGTTTTTCACTTTAATATTATATACAGAATACTAAATGAATAGTTTGTTGGAACATTATCTTCGGGGATCAAAAATCGTTCCGTCTTCTCAATTCACTATTGAAAAAAGATTAGGGGTGCACACGAGAGGATCATGTAAACTTCAGAATTTAGAACCTTATTTTTAGGCATTATCTTGGCTACCTATTTAGGCTCGAAAAGCAAAAAATATCAAAAAATACAACTTGACTCCATTATGACCCTTTCATGGAGGTAGTTTTTATCCGCTAGTATTTTTCCTTTGAATCTCTTTACAATTCGAAATCAAATTCAAAACTCAGTAGAAGAAAGGAAGAATCGACTTACTACGGTTGTAATACGAATAAATACATATATTTAATTATTTTTATTTACATAATAATTGTTTGAAGCTCATATTCCATCAAATTTTTAAATAAAAACATTAAAATGTTGAAAATGTTCATATATTTTAATAGGGTTTTGGCACTTTATTGAGGAATTACTACATACATAGTCGAACTGAACTTGATATTTTGAAATTTAAATTATTTATCAAAATTAAAATTTAACTTGAAATTTATAATTATTTAGTCATATTTTGCATAATTCTAAGTAGATTTTGTAAAAAATCAAGAAAGAAAAATTTTAACGTGCTTTATTTTTTCTTTTTTATAATAATACATATTATTATATAATTAACATATTCATAATGTTTCACCCTTTCAAAAATATAATCCTCCTCCTCTCAAATAAACGTACATACGGGTGGCCTCTTTTTTCAAAAAATTAAAATTTGAAATTTTGGGCTCAAATATTAGAGATTTTTTCAACCTTCAACGATATATGTTGTCTATATCAGACCTCCTTTCTTTTTGATACTTAACATTGTTCCTAAATCTTAGCCGTTAAGGCTGTTCTGAAAATATTTTTTTTTCGAAAAAATTCGAAAAAAAATTCTTAAAATTCAAAAATCCCTTAATTCCTGAGGATTTTGGAAAAAAGTTTTTACATGAACATGTGTATATTATATGAAGTATATTGATAAGGTAAAAATCAAATTTTATTGCATATTCATCGAGAAAATAAACTAACGAATCCCTCAAAATTGAGAGGGTAATCCTCCTCTCAAATAAACGTACATATGGGTGCACCCTTAAAAATAAATCAATATTTTTATTAACCTAATGACATGTTATTTAATATTTTTTGTTTTTGGGAAATTATGCAGGGGATCATTCAACAAATTGAATGCCTTATTTCTCAATTTCTTTGAGATAATAAATCAAAATTGAGAGAGTAGTTAAAAAATGGAGATCATGGGGTATATTTCTTGAATGGATTACGAGCCAATCGAGTGCAAGTGTGGAGGTGATAAAGAAGAAGATAAACTCCTTGGAAGTTCAACTCCTTTTGCTACAACTTTTAAGTTGAACATTCCTGGTTTCTTTTTTTCAATCGCATCAGCATTTCAAGATGCAATTGACTTGTATTTCATCAAGGGAGGTTTTGGAACTGATGGTGTAACAATTGTTAGCATCGCAAGTATCATTAGACAGTTGGTGGTCGGATATTCATATTTCCATATGCAAGGAACATGTTCTAAATTCAGTGAGATGATTGCAACAAAGTCCTATAGAGAAGCATGCAAACTTTATGTAGAAATGATCAGAATGTCAATAATTCTCGGTGTTTTTGCAACCATATGTTTGACTTTTTCAGTCCCATATATACTGCCATTGATGGGAATTCCCGAAAATTTAGTTGCAAGTGCAAGAAACTACTTGATGCCAATTGCCTGCATACCATTTTTCAGCTTGAATTTAACAATTTCTGCATCAATTGTTCTCGCTTGTGGAAGAGCTAACTGGTATTCATTCATTAATATCAGTGCTCTAGTAATTTCTCTTGGTGCTGATCCTTTATTCATATATGTTTTCAAAGCACCTATTGATTTTATGGGCATTGCATTTATTTTAGGTCCTGTTTCTCTTTCCATTTTACTGTTGATTCTTTTTTCAATGAATAGATTTTGCATTAGTCCGAATTGGAAAGAAATCATAACGAAACCATCATCGCAATTCTGGAATTTGATATATCTTTCCATTCCTTCAACTTTATCAATCACTCTTAGTTCTATTACACCTGTTGTATTCTCCATATTCTTGAAGAAGTCATCGGAAGAAATAGGATATTCAACAGAAATCTGCACTGTTTACTCAACAACAATGAAGGTTTATTCAATGCTTATTATAGCTATTCAAGGAGGGACAAGTGGAATTGCACCATCTGTGAGTTATGCACTTCATAAAGGAGAGTCAAAGAGGCTTTATAGACTATTCGAATTTGGACATTTAATTCCAATGTTCACTGTTTTTGTAATATCACCAATAATGATTATCAATCCAGAAATTATCATCAAAATATGGATAAAGGATGAAAACATGCTCTCATTTGTTAATAAGATTTCTCCAATTCCATTTTATACATCGTTTATTGAACCATTTGTTCAAATTGTTGCTCCTTTAGTTATTGTTTTTGGACATTATGGGTTAGCAACTATAGCTCCTATTGTTAAAGCTTCATCTCTGATGATAGCATCAGTAGTAATGACAAAAGTGGTGAAAACGAATTCAATATTAGTACTTTATTCCTTAACAATTCAAGATTCTCTGAATTTTATAGCATCAGTCTTTGTGATGATATATGTATTGCATGAATACAAATCAAGCTTTTATGCTTTATCTCCGTCTACATCTCAGCAAGAAATATAATTGGTTATATATGTTATTATTATAAAATTAGTATATTAGAATTTTAATTCTTTTTTTGATCGATAATTTAGTATTCTTTTGTATTAACTGAAATACTCTTACAGTGCCTAATCTATTTTCATTGAAGCAGTAAAGAAAATCAAATGTAACTCTGTGCCAATCAAAACAAATGAATTAGAGAAGAAATTGACAAGAAAATGATGGATAAGGCATGCATGTTGCAGTAGCTGTTCTTGAGTTGTGCTTGTGTAATGATTTGAAAAGGATCGTATTCTCCTTGTTCGTTTTTGTTGTTTATTGGCACAAGATTTTTTTGCCAATTTTTTCAATATAACCTCTAATAATGCGATCGAGCGATCATCAATTAATAATTAGTTGATGTTTTAATTTATCTCATCGTGTAGATTGTAGTTATTTAGTTTTGATTGTAAAATATGCATAGAAACGTTATTATTTTATGTTGAAGAAAAATTGATTATAATCAATAATCTTGTATATATTTCTATCTTTGTTTTTGACAGCATATTCAAAAGTGCTAAACGATTCGTTATTATAAATCATCGTATTATTGTATTATGGATATATTTTGACCCAGTATTTAATCCAAAATTTCTCATTCAAAAGTGCCGATAGATAAATAAGAAAAGCATAACCAAAGGTACATTCACTATTTTTGACAAAATTTTAAATTTTCATGGGGTTGTAAATCTTATAATAACTAGATGAATAAGGAATGAATCCCAGTATAATGTGCATCATTATATTAAACACTATATGTAAGGCTAATGATTCTATTAACACTTATGAAGATCTATAGTATTTGAGCAGATAAATTTGATAATTTCCAAAACTCTTATATTTCAAAATTAAAGTGTGCGAATGCATTTAAATGAGAGCAAAAAGAGATTGATGCTGTTAAAACTAGGTGTTAATTTGCAATTATTTCGCATCACAAGAACTACCCAGTAAATTCGGCTATCTTTCTTTGCAATTATTCTCCATTATACCTATAATATAATGGTTAGGGTTTGAAGAAAAGTTACTAGAGAATTATTGACTTTTGAAATAATGCAGAATTTTACTTGAAGAAATCATTAATTTATGAGTTCCAAATTGCTAAGCATGACGAAGGATCATTAAATTTGCTACAATTAAATACATTTATTGCAGAATTAAGATTTTTGAAATTAAAAGTTTGAAATATTGCCTTTTTGAATAAAAATTTAAATTTTATTATATAATCATGATAATATCTTATAGAAATTAAAAGAAAATATTTTAAACCATTCAAATATTTTGAATGTCTTATCAATTTAAAATATTAAAAGATAGCTTGATTTTATCATCATTAGTTGTTATCAAAGTTTTCTTCTTTTGATGAACAACAGTAAATGATTTGTTAATAGCTTGTCTTCCTTTTTTGCACCAAAATCAAAATTCTCACCCGATCAGTAATCGAAAATTTTGTAGCATACGATTATTTTCCATTGAAAAATTATCACTAAAAAACTTTAAAAAATTAACTTTTATTCTTAATTTCATGTATGAAGGAGGTAGGAAATGACTTTAAGATTGACATCCTATTCATGGCTAAAGTTTTAGGAACTTTGAAGCCTAATTTGATATTGAAATTTTGGAAGATCAATGAATATGGGGATAAAAGTTGCATATCCTTGGACATTAAGAGGACATGTTATGAGAGTGGATAGCGTTCGACGATTCACTGAAAAAGTTACTCCTCGAAAAGACCTAAAGCCATCAAGTTTTTTGAATATTTTCTATCGTCTTTTTATTTTTAGTAAATTAGGATGCTCATTAAACAGTATGATTAAATATACAAAAATTTTTAATTTATTTTTCAAGGGAAAATAATCGTACGCTACAAAATTTTTTCGATTCATCATTCAATTGAGAATGATAATTTTGTAGCATATTTAGAAAAACGCTCGGTCGCTGGCGCTCCCTTCGCATTTTTCTAAAAAACGCTACAAAATTATTAAGTTATGATGATAATCTTGCACTCAATTTTGAAACTCTCTGATTTACAAATAAGCATTCCTTTGGAAAAGCAGTCCTATTATGATTCAAGATATTTTAAAGCCCCCATTTCATACAATGCGCAGATATATTCGAAATTGCAAGAACTCTCAAGAAAAATGCAGCAGCAAAGAAGATTCCATAGTTTCTAGCATCAAAAATTTACAACCTTAATACAACAGTTAAAGAGAAGCTCGAAAAGAAAATAATTAACCATAAAGCTGGAAACCATTCGATATATACTATTAGATCTAATAAAAAGTTAATTATAACATATTTTACATGCTATTTGTTGACTCTGTTCCATTATATTACCATATATATCTTTTTGAAATCTAAAATATTTTTACGATTTTAACTATGTGTTGTTGAAACCATATATCAATCTTAGCTAAAGTATAGTTTATGAGTTTGTCACCATCTAACGTATGAATTTTCAAAAATGTCAAATATGTTTATTTTTTCTGTATATTCAGCCATAATTTCAAGTAGTTATACTATTCAACTATTATTTAATATTTTTATCGATTTAAATATATGATGAGATGCTTAGTTCTCCCGGAAATCGATTTTTAATCGCAATTTTAACTTTCCAAAAAAATTCAAAAATAAAAATCCCTCTCAATTTTCTAAGTTTTCTAACTCGCCAAATCTCAAGCCAAATTTTTTTTGGCCCGTATAAATATTGTTAGGCACTATATAGGGATGCTATTTATCCTATTTTCATCCCATTTTACTGTTATCGCCTAGTGAATGTACCTTTGCATAACCTTAATTATTTCATGTATATATTTGCACTGCATCTTCAGGTATAAATTTTCCCAAAAGCCGTTATTTTGAAAACCATCAAAATAACGGACTTCATTTTTCATCAATGAGTGACGAAGAAAGGATCAAAGCCATCGAAGCCCGTTTTGATGCCCTCGATGAAGGCCGTGACGGAAAGATGAAGCCAGCAGAGTTCAAGGTTCTCTACGACGATTTAGAAGGCCGCGAAACAACACGAGAAGAGTCCGACATCATGTTCAGAGGCATTGATATCGATGGCTCCGGCGAAATCACAAAGAAGGAGTTCATGGATATGGTTAATGCCATCGTTAAGAAGGATGAGAAGTACCAGTACAAGATGATCTTCAGAGCTTTCGATAAGGACAGATCCAGATCCATCGATGTCAATGAAATCATCGCTATTCAGAAATTCCGTGGAAAGGAAGTCACAAAGGAGGAAGTCCAGAAGTTCCTTCTTGAAGAGACAGGCAAGTCAACAGGCAAGCTTAACTTCGCCTTGTTCTACAAGTGCCTTACTGGCAAGTTTACACCAAAGGAAACAGATCCTTATGATGGAATGTTAAAGTCCAAGTGTTGCTTATTAATCTAAACAGGTTATGAAAGTATATTATTTTTAAATCAAATCCTTTTTATTCTTTTTTTGAAAATACATCAAAAAGCTGTTCAATATTTCAATATTCATAAAAATATATATTAATTCTCCACCAAACTCGTACTAAAGCATTTTTCCATGAATTTTAAGTCTTAGGAACGCTCGATTGTAAATCATTTGCCCATTGCTCAATATTAACCAACGATCATTATAGATAAATTTGATTTTAGCAATGAATAATATATTTTGTTGCAATAAGGATGTCGTTTTGTCCCCCAGGGGGAATATTGCGTCCCCCACTTGGGGGACGCTGAGGGACAAAAATTGAGGAACTTTGTTTGATGGAGTCAGAGTATATTTGTAAAGTGTCAAAATAATAATTGATTAATAAAGTTCAAATATTATAATAGATACAGCATTTTGTTAATATTTAAAATATATTTATTTGGCTTTCATTGAGTTTTCATGTGTTTTCAGCGAATTGAAAAATTAAATTTCCTAAAATTTTTGCTATAGATGCTTTTTAATGGACTATTTTTATTTTTAATTAATGGGAGTAGATTAATCAATAATAAAATCCGTATCGAAATTCTATTATCAAGCGTCACTTTTTGTCCCCATGGGTGGGAAAAAAGTGACTCCCCATATAGGTATATGCATATTTTTATACAATCATATTTATGTTTTGATAACAATATAATTCAACCAAAAAAAAAAAAAAAAAAAAAAAAAAAAAAAAAAAAGGTAGTGGGGCTTCCAGGCACTTCGTGCCTTCTAGCCCTGAAGATGTTTAGTATAAATGAAGTCTTAGAGGACAAACATGACTATGAGTTTTGATATGACAAGATAGAATATGAGAGAGGTCCTATAAACCGGAGAAAGTGTTATATAAACATCTGTCATATTACTCAGAATATTATACAGAATTCAATAAAAATATATTTTAGGTGAAGAGGTGAGATTTCACCTGTTTTTTCACCTCATTTTTCACCTCTTGAATTTTCATGAATTTCATCGTAAAGACTTTGTCAAGATTTCATCGTAAAGACTTTGTCAAGATTTCATCGTAAAGACTTTGTCAAAACTTCATCGTAAAGACTTTGTCAAAACTTCATCGTAAAGACTTTGTCAAGATTTCTTCGTAATGAGCGTAAATCAGACAAAAATATATTTTAGGGTAGAAGGGTATATCTACCCCGTTTTCTACCCTCTTTTCTACCCCATATGTACTTACTGAAAAAGTATGTGTTCCATCTGTCATTTTACTCAGAATTTTACACCAAAAATAATGTTTAGGTGAAGAGGTGAGATTTCACCTGTTTTTTCACCTAATTTTTCACCCTCTTGAATTTTCATGAAATTTACACCAAAAATAATGTTTAGGTGAAGAGGTGAGATTTCACCTGTTTTTTCACCTAATTTTTCACCCTCTTGAATTTTCATGAATTTTACACCAAAAATATACTACTAGGGTCATTTACGAAGAAATCTCAACAAAGTCTTTACGATGAAATCTTGACAAAACATAGACAAGAAAGTTCATGAGAAATTAGATGAAGAAGTTTTGACAAAACATTTACGAAGAAATTCATGAAAATTCATGAGGTGAAAAAAGAGGTGAAAAAAGAGGTGAAATCTCACCTCTTCACCTAAAATATATTTTTGGGTCATTTACACTCATTTACGAAGAAATCTCAACAAAAGTCTTTACGAAGAAGTCACAATAAAGAAATTTTATTGGTAAGTAAATGTGGTTTGAAATAGGACTACTTGTTTTAGGTTTTTTCCATTGTGTCATTTACTTATTTGACGTGGCAGAAAGATATAGAGAATATGAAATGAACCAATGCTGCAAATGTTCAGTATATGTACTCGTAAGAGATATTTTTATCTAATATTAAATCGCACAGAACTTAGCGAATGCACAGCAACCTGGACAACCAACCCAGAGAATATTCCAAATGAAGTTAGAATACAAACTGCAATGGCAAAACTAGAAGTGCCAACAGATGTACAAATGCAAACTGCCATGTCAAATGACCGCTTAGGTCTTACCCATGGTATCATATGATGATGAAAAGTATTTATACAAACCTGAGATGTGGAATAAAAACTTTATGCAGATGACGCGAACACAGAAGCCCAGAATATGTTTCTACCAGAGGAGAAACAGAATGTATGAGCTCCAGTTAAAGAATGCTATGGAACTCAACAGGACGTAAGAACTAGGCGGACATTAGATTTTTACATATAGTAAAATGGGTTTCTTCAGTAAGATAGGAAACTTCTTTCGAAATGTTGGAAGAGGTATATGGAATGGAATAAAATCTGTCGGAAGAGGAATTTGGAACGGTGTCAAAAAATATTGGTAAAAGAGTAGGTCAGTTTGTTGGTATTATACCTAAAGACCCTGAACCAGAAGAACAAGCTCCTGTTATACAACAGCCTGAACCTGCACCACAGTCAAGTTGGCAACCAAATCCAACACTCTAACCGTATTAAAAATTATATTTTTACCGTTCGATAGTAGTTGTATATGAGACTAAGTTCTAAGTAAAACGCATGGTATAATGGAACTATTCTCTTTCTTCCATCTGTTGTAAACCATACTTGAAAGTCTGAAATACTTCCACTCGGCGGTTCATATAGCTTTGTAGGTTTTTCGTAAAAGTCATTTGCCAAGCATAAAAAAGAGTTTTGTGCACCAGAAAATGAAGCATGAACTATAATAGCATCTGAGTCGAAAACATTTTCATATGTTCCATTAGGGTTTTCGACTTCATAAAAGTTCGGGTGTACTGGATATTCTGCAGGCTGATTTAAATCCTCAAAAATCTATACCATGCCAAGTTGTTATATTTTGTAGAAATAAACGTTTTCTCCAAGGTCTTCTTATTCTACGATTTTAACAGTTGCTATTTTCCTGTCATAATAAATATCGAGATGTACTCTCGCTTTCGTCAATGTTGTACTGTTTTGCATATTCGAGAAGATATCGTTTATTTTTTTGTGAAAAGCTTGAAGAGTTGTTTCATAGATTACAAGCAAAATTCACTTGTAAAAGTTTTCCCTGTTCAAATTTCTCATACGTACGTTTTTCTTTGTTATAGTATCGAACTTCAAAACCGATGTAAATGGGAAACCATGTATGGCTTCTGAAATGAACTTCATTCTACGAAAGCCAATAGCTTTTGTGACAGATGGGTCTCTTAACTTAGGTGGGTAGTCAAAACGATAGCCTTCATGCTTTACGGTCTCTGTCTCAAACTTTTGACCGACATTGGTAAAAAGTTCATCTAATGGTTTAGTTGTAGCAACTCTTGAATTTTTTTTTCTATTGGAAGCATATTTTATCTAGAATAAAAATGTCGAAAGATATTTGCTTCCATGAGAGAAATACAACACAACCGACAACTCATTATGCAAGCTCTAATAAGAACACAACAAACTTTCAACTATTCTAAGATATTCTGAGTCATTGAAAAAGGAAACTTAAAACTGACATTAAACCCAATGACAGATGAGTTTCTATTTCAAGACAATAAGAACCATACTGTCTGTATAAATCCAACAAAAGGAACTTTAAACGAGAAACCTATAAATGAACTTCTTTTGAAAGCAGATGTTGGCAACAAAGCTGACAAAGAATATGTAGACGATGCAATAGCAAAAGAAGAAGAAAGAGCTAACAACGCTTATGCAACAAAAGAACATACTCATCCTGAACTAGCGGACAAAACATATGTTGACAATAAAATGTCAAGTGAAGTGACAAGAGCTGACAAAGAATATTCTAAAAAGACTCATACACATTCTATATCTGAAATAACAAACTTACAAGAAACCTTAAACAGGAAAAGTGACGTTGGACATACACATACCATTGCAAATATTGCAAACTTACAAGAAACCTTAAACAGGAAAAGTGACGTTGACATACACATACATCTTCTGAAATAACAGACTTAAACGTTAGCCTTGAAAATAAAGCAGATAAAACATATGTCAATGAAATAATACCAAAGTTTGCTAGGAACAAAAAATATTGAAACTATTGTTGGTGACTTTTCTGTCAATGAAGAAAACAAATATTTTAGATGGCAGTTGGTACAGTCCTTAAAAAATGGTACACGGTATAAACTCATTCCGAAAAATAACAATGAAATGTATGTAAGCTATAAAAAGAACGATGGTACACAAGTTAAAGTTCCATTAGACAACAACTGCTACTTAAACTTCTATGGAGACGAACAAAAGAAATATTTAAGAGTTTATGAAATGACAGATATGACATTGCCTGACCCAGCTCCAGCACCATACTATTATGACTAGGAGATGACGTCAGAACACCACATGTAGATGAACAAAAGCTAACATTATATTTAGATTATTATAGATATAAAAGATATAATGCAATAGAAAAAACGAGAATAGTATACTATTATGAAGATGACAGAAACAAATATATATAGTCAAGACTTTACCTACCCTGAAAACATAAGATTATATTATAAAAAATATTCTGACTTAAACCAGAAGAAACCTGAAAAGTTGCACTATATTTTAAGTTCAAAAGAGACAATCCTATAATGTCTCATATGTTTGATTTAATGAACCCAGTAGGTTCTATTATACATCTATGGAAGCAAGAGGTCTCAAGTAATGTTTGGTGTTGGTGCATGGGAACAAATAGTCGACAGGTTTTTGTATTGTGCAAAACTCTTCAAAGGAAACAGGAGGAAGTAAAACGATTTCAGGTGAAAAATTTACCTGCGCACAGTCACTACATAGATTTAAGTACATCTCAAGCAGGTTGGCATAGGCATAGATATTGGATGGTCAGGAATGACAAAAGGTAAAGGATATGATGTTAAAGACGACGTTAAGTTTGCTATAAATTGTTACTGGAGTGACACTCAGGAGAAGGAAACCATACACATTTCGTTTCAGGATATACACAAACAACGGGACAAAGTAAAGACTACATGCCACCTTAC